AGGTATATGATTTATGAAACAACCAAGCACACACACATGAGAGTTAATAATAAAAACATATCATTATTAATTTATTAAAATATCTTGTTTAATGATAGGTTATATTGTATGACTAAAATCATGTTTTATGACATGTATATCTTTTCTAGTGTTTAAATAATCAAGTTATATTATAAACAAAAATTTAAAAAAATAAAAATTTTAAAACTTATATTATAAAATACCAATCTGATCGTGTGATTAGTTATAATTAAACTAAAAACCTTTTATTAGTTATTTTCTTAAATAGGTAAAATTGGAATCAAACTAATCATAATGTATAATATGAATCATATAAGACAATTTTTTTATATAAGCTAGATAAGGGCCACTAATGTAGGAGAATAATGAAAAACATATCATGAAAATATCATAATATACAAACCATATAATACACTTTGACCAAATAGAAAGTAGTTTTGCATGATCCCCAATTGTATAAACTTATTGAATAGTGGATGTAGCAAATGAACTAGCCATATTATATGACTTACTTCCTAAAGTCCAAATAAATAGAGATGATTTTAGAATTTTGAGGGTATTGTGTTTATTGTACTAAGTGATATTAGAATTGTACTGTGTGATTTGGCCATCTTATTTTTATGAGTTGATAAAATAAAATATAGAAGAAACCCTAAAGGGATTTTGACAAAGTAGAGGCAACCAATAGATTTGAGATATTCTTGTGAAATCAAACAACTATAAATTTATTTTTAATTTGTAATCTTTTTTTTTTTTTTTGCAGTTACATCATATATATGAAGATTTTGACAAGGTTGATTTTTGTGTTAAAATTATTAAATATTTGAAGAGAATATTCTTGAAAAATCTTTATTTATTAAAAAAATTAAAAAGATAGCATATTTTTATCTAGAATTTTATTTCATAAAAGTTTTATATTTTGGTGTATCTAAACTTCCACATATCTAATCTCAACATATTTTTTAAAAGACACACTAATTCACCCACCATCTTGGGTGTGCCAAACACTTCAAATAGGATCAAATTTGATCAATAGAATATAGATATAAGAATTGGATAAATTACCCTTGGCTAATCCTTTTAAATAGATACTTATGGTTAGGTAAAGTGAACCAAATTAACCCACTTTGTCCCAATTGGATAATGTAAACCCCCACTTAGTCCATTTGAGCTAAATGATTTAATTTGATTAAGTAGATTGAATCAAACTACTTAGGTAAATTCATCACTCTCATATTGAGCCAAATTGATGCTTTATTTGATATATTTTACTAAATTTGTCAACTTGAACCAAGGTCAACCAACATTGGACCCATTTATTTTAATTAAGTTAATTTGACCAAATTGTTTCAAATGAATCAATCTAACTCTATAATTGATTCTTACATTTCAATCAAATTTAAATTGACCCAAGTAACATGATTGCTCAATTAAATTTAACCAATTATCTCACTTGAAGTCAGGTTAACCCATTTGACATTTTAAGACAATTTAAGGAATAATGACCTGTCACTATTTTGGGAACAACTTGTTATTCCTTGTTATAATTTTATGATCTTGGAATCAATGTAAACCAAGTAAAATTATATAAAGCTTTGACATTTTTCCAATTCTAACATAGTTGCAGTTTTTATGACAAGAGAGAGAAAAAAATATGAATCTAGAAATTCTAACACCATGTCACTATCTTTTGCATAACTCACATATTTATCAAAATTTTATTATCATGGTATTATTTAAAAGATAATAAAATCTTATACAATTTTAATGTTTTCCATTTTATCCACTTCTTACATGGTAAGTTGCAATTTTTGTGAGAATTGTGTATAAAATATAAATAAAGTATTTGGAACTATGCCATTTCACTAAGAAAGCTCTTTTATTTCTTATTCAAATTGCATGATTTTGATCTCTTTGTAAAGATGAAAAAAGTTTCTAGAACCTTTATGTTGTACACTATAGCCCATAATAACGCTATAAATCATAAATTTTGCATGAACTTAAGGTTGAGTACAAAGGTGGAAGCTTCAATTAATTTAATCCAAACAAAAATAAATTTGGCCAAGGATTGATTATGCTCAAATTAGTTTAATCTAATGCCTCAATTAATTAATTATGGAAATAAAAATAAATCAACTTGATAGCCCTGACCCTAGATTAAGCCTATTGATTAAGGTTAGAAGAATCTTAACCATTTTTAACTTAAGTACACTTAGCTAATAGGATTAAGTCATCTATTAGATTAGTAATATACTTATCTTATCTTAAATGGGATCATGCTAGAATCCTCACCATTCACCTTACTTGAAATGGATAAGTGAAAGCTAAAGAGGAATATTAACCATGATTAAGCTCAAGTGCACTTGGATGAAAGGTAAATCCAACCATACATTAGTAATGTATGGATAAAGAAATTGAAACCATGTCACTTTAGTAGAGAAAATATTTTATTTCATATTCAAATTTTATGATTTTGATTGCTTTCTAAATATGACAAAAGTTACCACAACTTTTATTTTTTACAATTTAGCCAATTATAATGCCATAAATCATAAGTTTGTACGAACTTAAGGTTGAGTCAAAAGTTGAAAGCTTTAATTAATTCAATCTAAACCCAAATTAAATTGATTCGAAGATTGATTACACTCAAATTATTTTAATTTAATGCCTTAATTACTTAATCATGGAATAAAAATAAATCAAATTGATAGCTTTAGTTGTGGATTAAGCTTATTAATTAGGGTTAGAAGAGTCTTAACCATGATTAAGCTTAAGTAAACTTAACTAATAGGATTATGCTATCTCTTACATTAGTAATATACTTCTCCTATCTTAATGGGCTAATGGAAGCATCCTTACCATTCACCTTACTTGAAATGTATAGGTGGTAGCTAAAGGGGAAGATTAACCATGATTAAGCTCAAGTACACTTGGTCAATAGGTTCAACTACCTCATTGATAAAATAAAAAATATATAAACAAAATTACATCTATTTTTTTTTTTATAAAAATTTCAATTAATTTTATCATTTGTATGTAAGAAACAAGTAACAAATTCTAAAATTGAGGGAGCATTTTACTGTAATAGATAGAACACTGCAGTACTACAATTACCTCAGCATAAAAGCACTACCAATTTGGCATCATAATGATAGAGAATTGAAATTCATTCGAGAGTAAGGCACTAAGGATGGAGCGCTACAATGTCAAATAACCTTAGCAACATGGTGGAAGATAGTTACAAATAGTTGAACTTATGAACCAATGTGATGAGTTATAAATTGACACATCAATTTAACAATGCCATAGTGCTACCTAGTTAGCACAGTGACACCTGATCAGTTATTTGCAAACACTATAAATTGATGGATTATTATTAATGTAATAGGTTGATGTTACAAGATAGGATTGGCCATATGTTTACTTTGTATTAGTCTAGGGAGAGTCTAGAGTGAAGAGAGGAAGGAGTGCATGGAGTTTCTAGTCAATATTTTAAAAGTCGTTTTGGTGATATCTATCCTCGCTTATCTCTTATACTTTTAGATTTTATATTGAAATGGAGTATATATATTTTGTTTAGTTTAATTTTCATGTATGGCTAAAACTTTTTCTCTGGGCTTATAATACCTTAGAAAGCATGCTTGATTTAGATTAGATTTATAATTTTATGAATTATTCAAACCTTCTTTAAAATCCTTGATGCTTCATTTAGTTTATGTTGAGACCCTGCATAAACTTAAAAAATAATGTTATTTACTTCCTTGATGAAGTAGAAGAACAATTAGGGGATTGAAAACTTATTTTGTCATACATAGCCATATAGTGGTTGGGATCTTAAGGAGATATTAACATTGTTGTTTGTAGTTGAAAGAAATCTTAGCTAAATCTCCAATGAACTTGATAGAGATGAGAACTAATTATGACGTGATTCATAATAAAAGTAGGAAAAATTAACTGTTGCAAATAAGAGATTTTAAATATCATAGGTTCGTAGTACTTTAGACATATAATTTTCTTTTTGAAACCATAGCTATTAATTTTTACTAACATACCTTTTTTATTTGACCTAAAGATAAATTTATTAGTTCATATAAAGTGACCTTAGTGCAATTCAAAGTACTCATGGGAATGATACTGTACCCACTACTTTATTACTTCAATTGACATGTATAAATGTGTAAAATAAGATTGAAAAGAAAATATAGCAAGCATAATAGAAAGAACAATATTAATAGTAGTACTCCTATTAAGTTATTGGTGTTGTTGCAAAGGATTCTTAGTTAATTATCTTGTTATTGACTTTATATTATTGAATGGACAGTTAATTTAATCTTATCATTATTTTTATTTAAATTATTATGCATTGGCAATATTATTTGATTATGTTTTTTTTATTTTTATTAACTATTCAAAACTGTTTTGATTTATATTTTCATATTATTTGTGATACTACTCCATGCATAATAGAAACCATCTAGGAGAAATTGTATTTGATTATGAAATAAAAAGAAATCTTAAGAAAATTAGAAAATCTAGAAAATCATAAAAAGAAGTAGAAGAAAATCATAAAAAAGAATTGGAAATGCAGATCAAGTTTTGGAGTATGACCAACCTAGACCAATTAAAGAATGTACAAATCCCATGATTGAGGGTATTCACCAAATCATTAATAGATGAAATTTTAAGTATAACAATTCTGAATTAAAACCTACTATCATCCAAATGGTATCAAACTCCCAGTTTGGGGAACCTTTATAGAGGATCCCAACCTACATATAACAAATTTAATGGAGATATGTACTACATTTAAGTAAAACAAAGTCACCGATAATGTCATTAGACTTAGATTATTTATGTTCTCATTAAGGGATAAGGCTAAGATGTTATTTGACTCTTTAACCCTAGACTCAATTGCCACATGGAATGACTTAGCTCATAAATTTCCTGCCAAGTATCCCCCCTCTCCATCCAAGACAACAAAACTTAGGAATAACATTACCTCCTTTACCCAACTAGATGGAGCATCAATATATGAATATTGGGAGAGATTTAAGGAATTATTTAGAAAGTGTCCACACCAAGCATTACTAATTAGATTATTATTTAAATATTTTATAACAGTCTTGTAGGTTCCCTTAGAATAATCATTGATACAGATGCTAGAGCTTGTTTAATGTCCAAACCTTTCAATGAAACATATAATTTGTTAGAGAAAAGGGAACCAATATTTTTTAATGGCCATTTGAGAGAGTAAACCCTATAAAAGTGGCTATATAAATATGAGGCTTTCTCAATTTAACTACATATGTAGTTTCTATATCTAGAGAGCTAGATAATATTAGAGATTGTACATCCCAAAGAACACCTTTACTAGTAGAAGAGAGTATAAATAGATCATTTAGTGACCTAAGCACATCAAGAGTTGAATTATTAAATTCCATCAATAACATACAAAATAATCCTTTAATACTTATAACCTAAGTTGGTGAAATTACCCTAACTTTAATTAGAGTAATATTCTAAACTAGGGTAATAACTAGAATTCTAGCCAACCCAACCAAGTAGGAAATTATAATCCACTTCCTCAAAACTATGAAAACATAAGGACTAAATATCCACATGCATTTAATTCAAATGATCAAATTAAGGATAAAAATCCTTTTTAGAAGATTTGGTTTTATAAATAAGAAACTAGTTATAAAGTTAAGCTACTACATTAAGCAATATTCAAATTTAGTTAGGGCTATTAGTTAGCCCTTTAAATAATAGACTTAAGGGAACCTTTCCTAAAAATATAGAGGTAAATCCAAAGGAAAAAAGCAAGGAATATTGAAAATATAAAAAAATGAGGAGTGGAAGAGAGTTAGAGGAAGTGGTTAAGGAGGAGAAACTTGTAGAAGAAATTCTTGAGGAAGTATTCATAATCTCATCAAGCCTGAAGAGTAACCTCTACCCATTCAGAAAGTAGAAAAATCTATTGGACAGGTTGTTGATGTTGCAAATTCAGGTCCATGAACTATGTTTTAATGATTGGCAAACACTCGTACTTGTCTTGGACTGCCTTTTTTCTACAAACTTTTCAGGACTCAAAGATCGGACGGAAATCAGAATCAGCTCAAGATGGGGTAGATTAGGGTTGAGTCAGTCTGTAATTTTATTTTTTGCTTCTTGAGTCAATTATAATCTTTGGTGTGACTTATGTAAAGTAACCATACACACACACTTGAGCATTAGAATTTTTATTTTTTACTCAAATCGGCCAGGACGATATTTACATCGTCCTGGACGATCGGGCTTAAAATAGAAAATCTAATCAGGGGTTCTTAATTAAGGCAGCCATCATTAGCTAATCGTCCTGGACGATACTTGTATCAGCCTGGACGATAGGCTCAAAATAGAAAGAAATTGCCGCCATAAACAATTAAGGTATTCTATATTTTTGGCAATCGGCTAGGACGATCTTGGATCGGCCTGGATGATATTCACAATTATGCCTTAATTGATCAGACAATCAAGAAAGTAATTAAGGATGATTAATACGATCACATCGTCTTGGACGATCACAGGATCGGCCAAGACGATCTAGTCAAAAAACCTTAGTTACTCCTGGACGATCTGGATCGAACAGCTTGAATTTAGGGCGATTCTCAGGACAATTCTACTCTGATTTGAACTGATCGGCCGAGACGATCGTAAGATCATCCTGGATGATCAAGCCAATTTTTAAATCGTCCAGTTTGCATTCAGGGTGATGCTTTGGCCGATCTTCTGAGATTTGTACTGATCAGCCAGGACGATGTCCATATCATTCTGGACGATATAGTCGGCAACTTGCAATTAATGAACTCCTTTGAAGCTCTTCTATTTAAGTTCTCTTGTTCAACATTTTTGAACATCCTTAGCTACTGTCTTGACCTGAGAAAACCAAAAGGAGAGAGAGGGAGAGAGAGAGAGAGAGGATCTTGTGAGGGGATTCACAAGGGTTGCTCCAAGCATTATTCCACTTCTTCTTCCCTAGAGTCTCTTATCCTTGGAAGGGTTGGGAGAGGTAAGTTTCAGCAAGTGATTTTGGTTCTCTGCCTGCTTCAGGAGGAAGAAAAAAGAGTTGGGTTCTCTGCCTTGTCGGGTGTGACAAAAAGGAGGTGTTTTTGTGAGGGCTTCTCCGTCTAGCTGTGGGGGCTAAAGGAGAGTCACGTTGGTAGTTCAATACTCGGAGGGTGCTTCCAGGGAGTGGACGTAGGTCGAGTAGACCGAAACACTATAAACCCTTGTGTTCTTATTTTTACTGCTTCCACATTTATTTTCTTCAGCACTTGTTTTTGTGGTGATTTGGTTTGTGATAACCGTTCTTTTTGCTTAAAGAAAATTTTAAATACCAATTCACCCGCCCTCTTGGTTAGCCTCGGGCCAGTTCTATATGGCTTAACATCCCTAACGAACTTTCAATTGGTATCAGAGCGGGATTCATAAAAACTAAGTTTGAAAACTTTTTGAATTTTGATCCATGGCTAACTTTGGGAATCGTAATACACCGGAAGGATATTCTATTACCCGACCACCTTTGTTTGATAATATCCCTTTTGATTTTTGGAAAACTCACATGTCTACGTTTTTATAATCTACTGATTATCACATATGGATGCTTGTTAAGGATGGTTACACACCTCCAACTGGTAAACTTAACGGCATTACTGTTCCACTTCCTTTTATTGAATGGACTTTAGATGATAGGGATTTGGCTTAATTATATACAAAATGTCTTAATTGCTTTTTATGTGCTTTAAAATCAGAAGACTACATGCGTGTTTTCCCTTGCAAAACTGGTAAAGAAATTTAGGATAAATTGTGTATCACTAATGAAGTTAAACAATCCCGTTTGAATATTCTCTTGCATGACTACAAACTTTTTTGTATGAAACCTCATGAATCAATTTTTGAAATGTGTACGAGATTTACTCAGATTGTTACATATTTGCATGCCTTAGGAAGAGAACTTTCAAACTATGAAAAAGTGAACAAGATTCTGAGATGCTTGCCTTCGTCTTTTGATGTTAAAATCACTGCAATCACTGAATCTAAAGATTTAAATATGTATTCGATTAACAACTTACTTGGCTCATTCATTGCTTACGAGCAAGGAGTGAATCAAAGAAATCTTGATGCAGGTGAGAAAAGAAAGGAGAAAATGATGGTAGTGAAGGCACACAAATCAGACTCTGACTCTTCCGGGTCTGAAAGCGATGACATTGCCTTTATCACAAGGCAATTCAAAAGCTTTCTAAGGAAGAAACAAAAGCATCATCAAAATTGGAAAAGAGGTAAGGATAACAAATATTCTAAAGGATCTAATGATGTGGTGTGTTATGAATGCAGGAAGCCTGGACATGTGAGAGCTGATTGTCCTACACTTAAGACGCACACAAGAAAGGAAAAGAGTGAGGAGAAATCTAAATTCAGAAAAGACAAAAAGAGACTTCAAAAGGCATTTTGGGCGGATTCTAAGTCGGATTCATCAGAGACGGAACCAGAAGATGAGACAACAAACTTGTGCTTGATGGCATACGATAATCTTGATCAAGAAGAGGTATGTGAACTTTCCTACGATCAACTTCTTGAAGTTTCGAAAAAAATTCATGCATCATATAGGAAACTCAAGAAAACACATGCAAGCTTAAAATTGGAATTTTTGGAGTTAAAAAAAGAGCATGCAATTATGACTAAAAATCATTCTACAATTGATTCAAATCATATGGCTCTACTTGATGAATTTGACGAGTTAAACAAAAAATATTGTGAATTAATTGAAGAGCATGAGTCACTAAAAGTCACACACACCTCACTTGATTCTGATTTTAAGAAGTCTAAAGAGATGGAGAAAAACTTGAGGATTGAGAATGAAGTCTTAAAAAGAACAAATTTGAAGATTCAAAATGAATTAGTTGCATGTAAGAAAACTAGGATGACACCTACTTTTGATCAAAAGCCAAAAATCTAGGAAGAGGCATTATAACTCAAACCATTTAAGAAACCCTTTTCCTGGAGTTAGATGTTTTTCCAGCGGCATGCTAGGACACATCTCACACACTTGCACAGTTCACCATAGTACACATTGGGTGTGGAGACCTAAGTTGCATAATCCATAACATACCACACATGCATTGCATTCTACTTTTCATAAGAAGGGACCCAAACCTATTTGGGTTCCAATATCTGACATTTGATAATCTTGCATGAGGGCTCTCACAAAAGGCCTCGTGAGAATATGTGGTACCTAGATAGTGGATGCTCTCGACATATGACTGGTGATGCCAATCAGTTTGTTTTGCTGGAGTCCAGGACTGGAGGCAAGGTTAATCTTGGAGACAACACCACTAGAAAGGTGACAGGCTCAGGTATAATTGGTAATTATAAGAACCTTATGACTGAAAATGTTTTTCTTGTAGATGGATTGAAGCACAACCTGCTGAGCATCAGTCAACTTTGTGACAAGGGCTTCATCATGAAATTCTTTACAAATTCATGCATTGTAAGTTTAAGTAACAACACTATTTTGCAGGGAAAGAAGATCAACAATGTCTACATGCTTGATTTAAATAACATTAAATGTGCTGCTTCATTTTGCTTAAAAATAGTGATTGATGATTCATGATTGTGGCACCGGAGACTATGTCCTGCAAGTATGAAAACCCTTAGGAAAGTGACCCAAAAAGACCTAGTTAGAGGTGTCCCTAAACTCAAGTTTTCAAAAGACCACCTTTGTGATGCCTATCAACTAGGAAAGTAAGTCCACTTCACATTTCACCCCATTAAAGACATTAGCACCTCTAGACCTTTAGAAGTCCTTCACATGGATTTGTTTGGACCCATTAGCACTGCCAGCTTGGGAGGGAAAGTCTATAGTTTGGTAATTGTTGATGACTACTCGAGGTTCACTTGGACTAGATTTCTTTCACATAAACATGAGTCTTTTGAGAAGTTTAGAACATTTTCTACTTGGATTCAGAAAAAGCTAGGTTGTGAGATCTTGACCATCCATAGTGATCATGGGGGAGAGTTTGAGAATGAAAGATTTGGAGATTTTTGTG